AGTATCGCTCCTCTACTTTTATAGTTAGACATATATTTATTTTCTTCCTTCTTTTTCAACGACTCGCCACTGACACATTATTGGAGACGAAATTCTGCCTAACTATAAAAATATTAGTTCCGAATTTTTTGTAATATATTGGAGAATTCGAGAATTATATATAACTTCTGAACATTTGTCCAAGTGTATCATTCCAAATTGTATTGTTAATTATCGGGATTTAAAATTACGGGGAATAATTACGCAGAACGCGTTAACCCTTTACGTGGAAATAAAATTTTACTGTTTGTCCCCAAACGGCAGAGAAGTGGAAATAATTTGATTCCGATAAAACTCAGTCTCGAGGATTTTTTGGTCGCTGATTACAAATTTCGAGTTTAGGTTTGTAATCAGCGATCTCAAAAATTCCCGTGTACCGAGTTTTATTCAAATCAAGTAACTTGTTACGTTTCGGTACTTCATGTTAGACCCGCCACTTTGCTTTTCTAAATTTTGAATTCAAATTTGTGATCAACGACTTCAAAAACCCCGAGATGTTATTATTAGTCAATATTATATGATCCTAAACATATTTTTCACTCCGCCCGCCATATGACGGGCTTGCCTCGTAAGGGGGATTAATGCGTTTCACGACTGCGAGTGGTTCGCTTTATGGTGGACGGTGTCGTAATATTGCGTAAATTATAGGAAATAGTGACGCGTTGCAGGATATACGATATACTTATTTCAGAGTTAGCTAAAAAACGTCAATTTAATATTATAATAATTAAAAACGATTATAATGTCGTTGACAAACGTATTTTTCGAGTCGATGAGAGCGATCTAACTTATATGAGAAAGAGCGAATATGGATCACCTCTCTATAATATAATGATACTCTCTATAATATATAATATAATATAAATAATAATATAATATAATATAAATATACTCTCTATAATATAATGATACAATTTTTCTATCGCCTACATTGGATGAATGCGCAATTTTTCCTGTACGTCTACGCAAACTCAAATCCATAGTTGTGAGCACGATTTATAAGATTATATAAAAAATATGTCTCTCCAGCAGACATGTTTTACCAACTAAACCAACTACGTAAATTTATCTTACTTAGAACCTTATTAGGCATTATATTATTATATATTATGATATTATAATATTATATATTTAGGCTTTTCCCTCGTTTCATAAAATAATTTGCATGGTGATACAAATTAATTCAGAAACAACTGCAGTTTATATTTATGTTTACGTTAAATTAGACTTTAAAAAACATGTTAATTGAATATCTATTATTTTACTTTATCGCGGCAACATTTCGAACTGAAGCGTTCAAAAATCACCCGCCACCTCTCGTCATAATATTTATCGTCACGCGCGAAAAACTTGAGAATTATTGCACGCTCGAGTGCATTAAATACGCTCGACCATTGTCATTCGCGATGGACGCAAGTTTTACATTACATTTATACAAAATATTTCAATGGCCTGTTGAAATATTTAATTGGGCTCTTGTTGGCATGCCGTTAATTAAAATGCATCGCGTGGAGCTCGGATCAGTGCAAAATATGTCAAGCCTTTTCACGTAGATTTAGATCTGGTCACAGTGTGATATAAAGCGGAAGTAATGCATTTAATTAAAACAAAAAAGAAAAGGAAAAAGAAAAAGTGCCAAGTTCACGCACTCCTCTTTAACGGAAACAGTTATACAAAAAGAAATTATTACGCAACATATTTCATTTCTGCAGTTTATATTTATGTTTACGTTAAATTAGACTTTAAAGAACATATTAATTGAATATCTATTATTTTACTTTATCGCGGCAACATTTCGGACCGAAGCGCGGAAAGCAATAAATTTAAAAGCATTAAAATGAAAAAATATGGATCGGTATTGTGTGGTCACCTTGTCAGAGAATCACTGTCTTCTAATTGAAAGGATTCAGCACCGGTTTTTTCCGCCTTGCCAGATCCGTTGCGAATGATACTATGCATTTCGCGGATCACAATTATGTGCCTGAGCTCTTTCGTCATAATTTATTGTCACTAGAATCTAGATGTGCAATACTTGATCTAACATTCTTATTTAAAGTTCTGCACAATCATATCAATTGCTCTGCCATCCTCGCCGCATGTAAACTTTATGTACCATCTAGGCCGATTCGATCGTGGAATTCAACGTGTTCCACATTGAAAGGCATCGCACGAACTATGGTAAATTCAGCTGCACAAACAGAATGTTAATGATAGCTAACAGATATTCGACTCGCATTGACTTCTTCGATAATTCATTGAATACTTTCAGAAACAATCTTCGCCGCATTTTGCTTCCTCATTTGCACTAAACGCTGCATTTTTCACTAATTTTGTATATATTGTTTTGGTTTTTGACATATGTAATTTTAAGACTTTTCATTATATATATGTAAGTTTGATTGTTCTCCTTCATTATATTAGTCATCTCAATTTTTGTATACCAAAGGGTGTTTTACCCGTACAGCGTCAAATAAATAAATAAATAAATAAATAAATAAATAAAAATATACAGATGAAATATACACGGAATATACGGAGAAGAAGAATATTTCTCCAAAGATATTCGATCGATCAATTCGATCGATCGATCGGCGAATGGCGCGGATGAACGAAGGAGCGCGAACGAACGGACAGGGAAAATGATTTCGCGAACTCTCAATGGGAAGCGTAGGAAATCGATCCGCGAGCTTCCGGCGCGTTTCTCTCGCCCGCTACGAACTTTATCCGCGAAAAAGAGCATTTCGCGTTGTTTCGCCGCGTAGACCGCAGCGCGATTGATATCGCGCGTCTGATATGCGACTCGCATCGTTCGCGAAGCGCAATCTTACGAATTTCTCTCTCCCTCTTCAACCTCCGATTTCATTGATACCCGCAGTTCTATGCGACCTGTCGAATTCGCTCTCGCGCATTTACACAATCGTGAGATTCCGCGTTAATCGTCGGAATTTGAACATGAACACGCGAGGGAGAGAAAGCACGCTGGAGGAACGTGGCGAGGCGCAAGCTCTGATCGATCGATCTCTCCCTTTCCCCTCTCGCGCAATCCTCGACATCAGTACATCAGCCGGCGGCTAAATTCGGCATTAATGATCTCGTACAACCTTGATTTTAATTTCGAGCTGTCTATGACCTTGATTTTAATGTCGCGCTAATCGGACGATCGACGCCGCCATAATCGTACATCGCAATTAGAAAACGCGATAATCCACCTCGCGCAGTCACCATTCCAATTTCGCGAGCGATAGCCGACCAAACCCCGCCTCGATCAGATTTCCAAACGATCACGGCGCCGGCGACTACGAACTTAATTGTCACGAAGAACCGTCAAGGCAACACGTGCGCAATTGAATTCGCGTCGTTAATGCGCGACGGCTGCGAGTTCCTCCACAGAATGGCGTAAAATTGAACGCTACACCGCGAAACGTTTCCGCGAAGCGCGTGCGGATCGTTATTATATTATTGTTATTGCGATTATATTATATTATTGCGATTTCAGTTTACTTTGTAGGAATAATTATGCAAATACGACATTAGTCTCTCTCTCTCTCTCTCTCTCTCTCTCTCTCTCTCTCTCTCTCTCTCTCTCTCTCTCTCTCTCTCTCTCTCTCTCTCTCTCTCTCTCTCGCTCACCGGACGGATTTGAATTAAAATTTACGCAGTGTGTTGTAATTCGACACGCGAACACGCACTTCGACGGAGGTATAACGCGTTAATACGCACGCTTTGCCGATAAATTCACATCGCTATCGTGCGCGCGCGCGCGCGCACACACGAAGAGAGGGAGGGGATAAGCGCGTCGTAATTGATGCGTAATTATAAATGCAATCGCTATTGCGATTATATATCGGATTGGAGCGGCGGTAACAACGGCGCGCGACTGCGAACGGGACGACTTCTCGCGCAAAAATCAAGCAAGACCCCGGAATAATTTCGTCCGGCTCGCTCGTGAAAAAGCGGCCTCGTTGTCTCGGAAAAAAAAAAGAGCGATCTCGCAAATCGACAAGTTAGCGCACGATACGCTGGCTGGGAAATTTCCAAAGTTCGGGAGGATCTTTCCAATCGCCGGTATCGGCCCGGCAATTGCAGCTGCAAGTTTGACAATGTAGTTAACGAGCGGTACAACTAGATTACTATTTAATTAGGTGCTATTCTCTCAACTGCTATTCTCCCCTCACTTTTGTCTCCGGACATTCGCGCGAAGCGATCACTGCGCGTTGACTCCGCCGTTTTTCCTCGAATATTCAGCGAACGGCAAATCAATAATGCATGACGAGCAGATCCTGACAATCCGCGGTTACGCAAAAATGTCTTCAACAATATAATATCACATATAAAAGAAAAGTACATGAGAGATATCTCTTTTTTCAATAATGGATAATCATAACGCAGGAATATAAACTCGATGAGTCTAACTGAGAAACCGAATGCTTCACCCTAGTGAGGATTTAATACCATAAATATGAGCGTCAAGGCTACGCTATTAATAAATGTTAATCCTATTCTTAAGAAATGTAAGGCTATTATCTCGACCTGTGTACGACACGAAGATCGTTAAAGTTTGCGTTTGAGCTGATAAAAGCGCGAGGATACTTTTCAGCGCGGTATTCACAGGCCAATCTTGTAAGACATTCTTTAATTAATCCCGAAAGATGTTGAGAACTGATGTAAGTAGCCAACAGCTGCGCGGCAGCCTAAGACGAGCTTAAGACGATCTTAAATATAAGATCGGCCAGTGAATACCCGTCGTGAACTTTCCAATCTGCGAGATCTCGCCGGTGCTTTCCGGCTCGCGATATATTCGCCCTGCGATTTCGACTCGCCGCCTCGAGCGGGAAATCTCGCCCTGTTCACGGTGCTGTTATCGTTGCAGTTGCACTCTTGTGCAACATGCACGACGAGAGGAACGAGACGTGGCCCCGTTGACCGGGACGATCGTAATAATTCGACTGTTTCTGTTCCAGGTACCTCGATACGACAACAAACGAAGAGTTGGAGAGCCGAGCACAAAGCCGCGAGGACACTCGGTATCATCATGGGAGCGTTCATACTTTGTTGGCTGCCGTTCTTTCTCTGGTAAGCGTCGACGCGGTCGTCGTTAAAAAAGTTCCGCGCGACCCAACCGACGATTATTAAACTAAGAATAAACTTCACTCGCGGGAGTTGAGCGCGGAAGTCATCTCGATAAAATTCAAGTTATTACCGACGTTACTTCTAAATATCAACCAATTTATTAAGAGAAAGCAAAAGAGAGAAACAGAAAGGGAAAAATAAAGGGAAAGATAAAGAAGAGAAGAAACAGCAAAATCGAGAGAGCGTGAGAGAAAGAGACAGAGAGACAGAGAGAGAGAGAGAGAGAGAGAGAGAGAAAGAGAGAGATAGACAGAGACAGAGACAGAGACAGAGACAGAGAGAGAGATAGAGAGAGAGAGAGAGAGAGAGAGAGAGAGAGAGAGAGAGAAAGAGAGAGAGAGAGAGAGGGAGAGCGCGGGAGAAGGAAAAAGGGAGTAAATTTTACTTATATCAGAGCAAAACTCGTTCGAATATATACATCTAACACAATTAAATAACGAAAATTATAATTAATAGCAGTTTGCAAAAAAGAAAGTCTAATCCAATCCCGCAACATCATGCGAGACAGAAAAGAGAAAATAGTAATCACTTTATGAACAACGGCCGTTATAAAAAATGCTCAATTGAAACAATGTTATTTTTCTTCCATTCTGTTCAGAAAAAAAAAGAACAATCAGAATATAATAAAGAAAGGAGAGTAAATAAAGGAGAAAATAAATAATGGAGGAGAAAGAGAGAGAGGGGGAGAGCGCAGCGAAGCGCAAAATTTTGTCGAGCTAAGTAGTTTCACTCAGAACGAAAGTCACTTTGTCGCGAGAACTCACTTAGAAGACTTGGCGAAGAGCGAGCGAGCGAGCGTCCGGCGAAATTTTTGCCACGGGATTTATGGATCGAATCCTCGTTGTCGTGTCCTCGCCTCCAGGGGAGACGGAACGGCCGAATATTCACAGTTAGCGAAGAGACACACAGCGATCGAGAAAGACAGGAGGATTCGAGAGAGAAAGAGTAAGAGAGAGAGAGTGAAAGAGAGAGAGAGAGAGAGAGAGGGAGGGCGGGGAAATCGAGAGGGAAAATCGCGAGAAGTCTTCCGCTCGTCCCATGTTTTATTAATGCGGGCGCAGAGTGCATTTCTATAGAGTTTGCCGAGGGCTCAGCGCGGCCTCTCCGCGAGCTTGCTCGCGCAAGTTCGACTATTTGCTCGACCGAACGGACCTCTGCGCGCGCCCGAGCAATATGAAAATCCGTCCCGCCCGCCTCGCGGCTGGGAAAACTGTCGTCCCGCCACTCGCCCGTGCGCGAAGACGCTTCTCGGTCAGAGGTACTGAAATAGGGATCGCAAGACGGAAGGAGGAGACGCGTTCTGTGGAGTCAAGGGCGGGCAGGAGGATCGATGGGTCCGTCTCGCCGCCGGGGGTGCATGCGACCCCCCCGGAAGAAACACGAAGAACACGCTGATTGTTCAGATATAACGCGATGTGGTCATTCAGTTGCTCGGGAAGCGAATTCGCCGACGACACAAAAAGTTCCGATCCCGGAGAAATCTCGCGGGAAAGTCGGCAGTGCGTTTGAGCGCGCACGCGCAGAAGAAAGAGAAAGAGACGATTGTATATCTGCCGCGGAAATTCAGAAACCGAAATCTTGGGGGCGAGGAGATGTATCTCGGGTCGTTTGTCTAACGTCGGGAGTCTGAGCTGATATTTTTCAAATTCATTGTATTTATTCGGTATTCGATTCGGCGCTGAGTAAACGGGCAATTAAGTCGGAGAGCGCGTTTCTCAGGCTGTCAATGCGAAATAAATGCTCCTTCTTCTTTCGGCGAAAATCGCTTCTCGCGAGTAAAAGGGCAGCATGGACTATTTGGAGCATTTGTTTGGCGCTAGAAATTCGAGGAGAAGACGTTCCCCGAACTTTAAATAGTTGATTGATATTAAATTCAGTATTAAATGAATTTTCATAATTAATTTAAAAAGCGTTTCTCTCTCTCTCTCCCTCTCCCTCTCCCTCTCCCTCTTCCTCTCCCTCTTCCTCTCCCTCTTCCTCTCCCTCTCTCTCTCTCTCTCTCTTTCTCTCTCTCTCTCTCTTAAGATACGAACGGCAAATAAATTCGCTCTTTTTTTATTATATAGTTTCTCGGTTTTTTCTAACGCGAGTATAAAATGTTTGTAATCGATCATATTCGCGTTATAATCATTTACTTTGGATGATTTATTTAGCGTTAGAAGTTCCAGGAGAAAACAAAGTGTACGATCTCATAATTTATTCGATATTAAATTGAATATTAAATAAACTGTGTTATTAATTCGGGAAACGCTCTTCTTCAATCGTCAACACGAAATAAATGTACTTCCTTCCGACGAAAATTCTATCTCTCAAGAATAAAATGTTTCAAATTCTAGTGTCAGAAGCTTAAAAGGGCATTTTTGGAATTTATTGAAATTTTTGGGTGCCTGAATTGAACCATAAATAAATATAAAAAAAAAATTCGATTCATAAATCACCCGTTTTTTTCCCGAAACGATTAGATTGCTCCAAAAAACAGTTCGACTCGCCGCACAGTGTTGCAGAAATCGCTAAACGTGGCCAAAATAGAAAAAAATAAAAAGCGAAATTTTCGGTTCCCGTTTTCAATATATTTTCTAAAAGTTCCAAATTAATAAGTTGTGGTAACACTTTGATGAAATCCAATTGTATCACGACGATAAGTGAATTCAAATGTACACGTGATACGAAGTAAAGAATAGCTGGATTATAACCCTCCAAATGACATAAATGATTTTGCGTTGAAACAATTTTTTACCATGAAAATGACGTTCCGTGTTTAATATCTCATCTGTGTAGTTTTATTTCCAATAAAGAGTATATTAGAGAGTTATAAATATATGCAATAAAAATTAGATTTACAGGACTCACTTTTTATATACAGTTAATCACTTATATCGTGATATATAAAAATCGCATCATTTCGCACCATGTTGTACCTTTGTGAAAATAAAGATAAAATATCTATTAATCCTTACGCAAAGATAGAAATCCAGCGATATCCAGCGCTTACAAAAATATGATAAATTTTATGAGCAGAGTTCGACATTCAGTGCGCTTACGGTCAGACGCTCTACTGAAGGTAATATTGTTCAACACAAAAATTATATCCTCTATCAAAATCCTTTATTCGAGTTAATTTTGCTAATGTTAAATACAAATATAATAATTAATGATAATGTTTAAGCTCTAATTAAATAATGTAGTAAACAATAGTAAAAATAAAGACTGTAGAGATACGAGAGAGTATCCTACAAGAAAAAACTCGAGAATTGCGACGAATGAAGATTTATCTAAAAGACTTCTTCTTTCCTCAGATCCCATCATTTCATCTTTAAAAAAAGTTTCAAATAAAAAAGCCGATCCCTTCCCTAAAGAAATTATTGAATTGCTTGCAAATCCAATTGTAGCAAATGCGGTTTCGGATAATGAATAGTTTTATAAAATATTTTGTTTAGTTAATAATTATATATAAAATAAAAAACAGAAGATAAAAACTAAAAAAAAAAGTAAACAAAAAAAACAAAAATTTTTTTAAATAAAAAAAGTAAAAAATAAAATAATAAAATTAAAAAACATGTTATTTTAGTGATGAAATACTAGTATTTACAATATAGTATGCTTTTCATTCAAACTATAGTACATTATAGCGACAATATGATTTCTGGCCACTATTTGGAGGTTTCGCAACACTGTGCGCCGGCGCTAAATTGCCCATAGAATTAGCGAGATCGTCCTGCTTTACTTTTTATCGTTCGTTTTTTTCATTTCCATGCGCCAATTGACTTGGCTCCGGCGGAATATGACGCGGAATACGAGCGCGACGATGGAAATCGAGCGAGAGAGCAAGACGAAAATTTTGTTAAATGCCGAATAGCGGATAAACGATGGCATAATGAAGTTACGACCGGCAAAATGCGCTCTCTATGGAAATCGAGCAAACAAAAGAGAGAGGGGGAAGGGGAAGAGCGAAAAAAGCCAATAGATAGTAACGCGCCGAACGCCGACCCGGTTTTTGCAACTCGGTTTTTATTCATGCAAATGCATAGAGCGCACCGCTCCGGCTTGAAAGCATCCACGTTTTACCTTCGCACTTAATTTTTTGTAGCTTCCGACATTTTCCAAAAACGTTTTAGAATTATCGGTCTCACCCGGCCGTCGTGATAGGCCCTCTCACTCTTTTATCATATGAATAATAAATGCATTTTCCGCGCAGTTTCTGAACTTTGGCTATGCGGCCCCATCGGCGGTTCTCTTTTTCATAATTATATAATAATTCGTAAGCAACGACGTTCTCTCCCTCTCCTCCCCTCTCTCTCTCTCTCTCTCTCTCTCTCTTTCCCTCCTTCCTCTCCTCCTCTCTCTCCTAGTTTTCGAATCCTTTGAATATTTAAATTCGAGAATTATGCCACGTTAATAAATTCACAGTGCTCATTACTCACTTGCATAGTTTATCATATCTTTTATGCATAATATCGAGAATGAGTATAGTATCTGGATATTTTTTCACCACACATCTGTGTTCTTTAACTGCCGACCTGCTAATAATGGTATTGCAATTTGATATTTGTAAATTTCGCTCTATCATTGTGTGTAATTTACTTTTGATACTGAAAGTTATTATTTACTACGGCATGAGAGTGGCATTTTAATTATAATAATGTTATATTTTCTTGGTGGTACTTTGCAGAGCACTTGAAGAGAGATTTCCCAGACTGCAAAATAAATACTGCTTGTCGTCATCTCTCAGCCTCTCTCTCTCTCTCTCTCGCACTTTCTTTTTCCTGCCTTTTATTAACACGAACAAAAATATGTTTACTTGGACGCAAGTATATTTACATTTTATCTTCGCAACAGTAAATCACGATAATTGCGACTTAAATATTTATATTGTATAAAAAATCAACAGTTTACATTAAACTGATTTATACGATTGAATTACAGCCCGAAGGGAAATGAAAATC